ACTGAATGACTCTCCTCTCTGCTTTTCACTGTTACTTGGTGTTTAATTGGCTTGTTGAGGATGGTGGCTGAGCCTGGCTGGTTAGGGCCACCTGGGTCCAGGCTCTGATCCTGATAGCTCTGGGAAAAGTAGATGTTCAATAGACTGGCTCATTGACTGCCCCACCACACACATGCATTTAATCAGAAGAATCCATGCCGGGCAACTATTGCCTGTGTGCCCTCACTACCAGTTTAGGGCACACATTTGCTTTCTCAGGTGGGCACTTTGCACCTTACTTGGACTGTAGAGGTAGATAGGCAGACAGGTAGGCCTCAGAGCTGTTATCAGTCTCTTAGCCTGTGTGATCTCCAGCAAATCACATAAACTTTCTGTGCTTCAGAACCCTCATTAGAGAATGCACCTCCAGATGTCTGCAGGCTCAGGGAAGCCTACCAACCTTGTTCAGCAGATGCATGTGGGGTCCTGGGTGACACTCAGTTGGTCAGACATGGTATCTAGGACTTTGCATTTCTTAGTGCTAGGGACTGAACCCAGGGCTTCATGGAGGCTAAGCATAGGCTCTTTAGCAAGCTCCCTGAAGGATTCTGGAATGATGATCCCCCCTCAGTAGGAGGAAAATGGGCAAACGGTCCCTGCCACCAAGAACAGGCATGGGTGTCTCTTCTGTTCATCTTCACCGGGATGGCTCCAAAACATGGCAGGTGAGTGCACACACACACACACACACACACACACACACACACACACACACACACACACACTCTGTCTCCCTTCCCCTCTTTCTCTTTCTTTCTCTTTCTCTTTCTCTTCCCCCCTCTCTCTCTCTCTCTCTCTCTCTCTCTCTCTCTCTCTCTCTCTCTCTCTCTCTCTCACTCTCTCTCTCTTTTTCTTTCCCTCCCTCTTTCCCTCCCCACTCCCTATTGTCACATAGCTGTGGAGTTGCTATGTATGCCACTAGGCCAGTGAGCTAGTGATTAAGTTGGACCAAAGTGACTAATCCTGCATTGTGCTCATGTGTGTGCTGGGGGCTGCCTTAAGTGATCAGGATGTGCCCCAGCCTGGGGCAGCAATAAGGGGGCAGGAATGAGGGGGCAGTATCAGAGACATGGTGTCAGAGATGGTGACCAAAATATGCAGAGTCTGTATGGCCATACAGACACACACAGGAAGCAGAGAATCATTGGCTATATATCAGGTCTGGGGCTAGTGTGGGCTTCATGAAACCCTGCATTAAAAAAAAATCAAGCAGGGCAGTAGTAGCACACACCTTTAATCCCAGCACGAGTGAGGCAGAGGCAGAGGCAGGTGGATCTCCGTGAGTTCGAGTCCAGCCTTATCTACAAAGTGAGTTCCAGGACAGCCAGGACTGTTGCACAGAGAAACCCTGGCTCAAAAAAAAAAAAAAGAAAGAAAGAAAGAAAGAAAGAAAGAAAGAAAGAAAGAAAGAAAAGAAAGAAAGAAAGAAAGAAAGAGAAGAAAAGAAAAGAAAAGAAAAGAAAAGAAAAGAAAAGAAAAGAAAAGAAAAGAAAAGAAAAGAAAAGAAAAGAAAAGAAAAGAAAAGAAAAGAAAAGAAAAGAAAAAAATAGAAAAGATACCAGGCCCCACCTTCTCTGGAACAGGATACAGGGATACAGACCTTGCACAGGTAAGATGGATGGCTTTGTACACATGGGGGAGTCCATGACAGTGGGTGTGTCACAGGCTACCTGTGATAGAACTTCACTCACTATGAGTGCATACTTTCCACCCTCAAGGTAAGGCCATGTGGATGGAACTTGGATGAGGACCCTTCAAGAGCCTTTGGGTCTGGGGCACAGGTCAGGGCTATACTTAGCCCTTAACTCCGTATGGTTTCAGGAGGCACTAGCTCCAGCTCTAGCCCACCTACCAAAAACACAAACAAACAAATAAACAAATTCAGGGTCCACTGAGGGAGGCTGTGGTTTCCATCACTTGGGCTGAAGCCAAGTGACTGTCTCCCAAGATCTCAGGAAGGAGTCACCTCAAATGAAGTGTGGGGTCATACAAACACCTCCTCTCCAGGGGAGATGTCTTTCCGCCTAGAGAAGCCTTCAACCTAGAGGCTGCTACTTGAGCTTTGAGAGGGGCTGAGACTCCAGATGCTCCCCTTCCACCTTCCTTCCTAGAATTCTCCAGGGAGGGACTTCATTGTCACACACAGCCACAAGGCAGCTCCTCCCAAGTAGCAGCACAGTGTGAATGTGGTGGACCCCACTACCCTGAAGAGCTGACACCCAGCCCAAGGGATGCTCCGGCCGCTCTCCTCCATTGCAGTTGAGTCTGTCCTGACCAATCCCTGCAGAACTTTCTCTGCCATTTGTGGCCTCTAACTCAAGTGTAAGACAGGAAAACATCTATGACACGGTGACCCAGGGTGCTGGCTTCTGAGTCCTCCTAGCAAGAACATGATGTTCTTTAGGGCAGGTCCCTGCTGGCCTCTCTAAGATGCCCTGACATGCTCTCACCATTTCCTGCAGCAGCAGCTCCTTCAGTATCCTGCAACTCACCCTCTGGGCCTTTGCACATACTGTTTCCTTGGAATTCTAGTTGTTAAGGCTTAAGAGCACTGAACACATCTGGGCTTGCTTCCTGTGGTTTCTGAGGTGATGAAGAATACTTGGCAGTACCCCTTAAACACTGACTGATAAGTCTTTTAAGAGACTCTAATAACCCCAAAACCCCAACAGTCATCCTGTCAATGCCTTCAGAGTTCTGAGGTTGCAGGCACACACACAGTCAGTCACACCCTTTTTTTTTTTTTTTTTTTTTTTTTTTTTTTTTAAAAGGGGCCTGGGGATTTGAACTCACATCCTCATGCTTGCACAGCAAGAACTATTACCTAATAGAGTCATTTCCTAAGCCCCACTCTGGGCACTCATAGTGCATTTTCTTTAATTCCCCACAATAATCCAGTGTGTTTAGTGGTAGCAACCATTTACAGAAGGCTGACTCTTTGTGAACCATGGGCTGAGACTGTGCCCATGGCCTGCCTCCTTTCATCACATGCCCAGCTTATGGACAGATGAGGAGTGGAGCTTAGAACCTGGAGTCAGAGTCAGAGTCCCTGGGGAGGGATAAACACACTGGGCCACTCAGTGGCATAAGGGGTGGCACTGAAAAAACCTACCAGATCCTCCTCTGACTCTCACCCGTTCGTTGCATGTCTCACACCTGCCTCCCAAACACGTAGGTTGGTCCAACCCTGGCAGGACGTCAGCACCAAGGAAAAGCCCTGCGACTGGGACCTTCTGGCAAAGGGGAGAGTGAGCTGTCTAAGATCTAGGAGATTCTGCTATACCTTTGACAGCCTTTCCCTGTTAGTAAGGTACTTGCTGATTATCACAGGCCAAGGCTACATAGACAGGGAAGGGAGGGACCAGTATTACCATGGACCATCAGCCTCTTGCTCTACAATGGCTTCCCACGTTTCCACTGGGCACATTCCCACTAAGCCTGGCCCTTGTTCCTGCCCTGCAACCAGTCAGCCAGGTGAGACTGGTGGGGAAAGTGAGGCCTCTCTGACTCAAATGCCACCTACAAGGCTATCATAGCTCAGCTCAAGAACTTTCTACGTCTTCCAATAAGCTCTCGTGTTCCCTCCCTCAGGTCACTTGGACCTTCCTTCCCACACCATTTCCTACCAACCCCGGAGGTGCCCCTGTGTGAATCCTGTATCCCCTGCTGACAAGGCTGTGGAAAGTCCTGCTTGCAAAAAAGAGACCTGTCTTGTTTGTTGTCAGAATCATCTATGGTGGGCTGGGGGAGCTGACTCTGGGGTAAAGATTCTGCTGTGCAAGCATGAGGACCCGAGTTCAATCCCTAAACCCACGTAAAAAGCTGGGTGTCTCAGTGCTGTGAGGCAGAGATAAGAGAATCCCTGGAGTTCAACATTACTTGGTAAGTTCCAAGTCAGGAAGAGACACTGTCTCCAAAAACACAAGGTGGGGTTGGTGAGATGGCTCAACAGGCAGATACTTGCCACCAAACCTGACAATCCAAGTGATCCTTGGGACCCACATGGTGGAAGGAGAGAGTCAACTCCTGAATATTGTCCTCTGACATCCACACACATGCCACAGCTCATGTACAACCCTCTATATGCATGCAAAATAAATAATAGATAAAATGCAATTTAAAAAAAATCAAACAAAACCTCCCACAAAGACAGTGGACAGCTCCTGAGGATCAATACGTGAGGTTGTCCTCTGGCCTCCACAAACATACATGTACAATGTACATCATCATCATCATCAAAATCATCATCATCATCATCATCATCACCATCTGCAGACATGCAACAGCCACACTTCCCAGCCTATCTTGGCCCTGGACTGTGGTGGCTGAGGGTAGAGTCTATGGGGAACAGCTTGTCTCTGACTCTGATCAGGCTCAGGCTTGAGGACTGCAGACTGAATTTGGCCATTGCTGCTCAGAGCTTGGTGACCTCATACAACTCATGACCCCCTGGGTGACAATCCACATGCAGGGTTTCCCAGAGCCTGAGCTACACTGTCACCTTTCAGCCAGGTTAGAAGAGCCGTGCTCATCCTGGACATAATGCAAACCTGTGGCCACCAGGCACACCATGTGACCCACCTTCACACCCAGTACACAGCCCCTGTAGACGATTAGACTCAATGTCAGAAGAAAGTATTCCTGTCCCTGCCATGTGGACGGTCCGAGTGGAAGGATCCACTTACCCCAGAGGGCCATAAACACAGAGAAGAAGACGGTGGCAGGGTTGTCAAAGAGGTGACTTGCACGGGCTGTGGCACAGGCTGAGCTCATCTTCCAGTAGCTGCAGGTCTTGTCACACAGGGGACACATGGTGATATTGTGTCTCTGGTCACACATTTCCATGCTATAAGACAGAGGTGGCCTCAAGTTCCCAAATGGCCTCAAATTCTGAAGTTCTAGTCTACTTCCCATGGGTCAAGGAGGGTAGTCATAGTCAAGGCATGTTGGCTAGCTGTGGCCACTCTGCCCCACTCCCTGCCACAAGCTTCACAGGCATGTAATCCATGCCTAACCATGAATTTCAGGGCTCCAGGCTCCATTCAAGACCATAATAATGTCTGACTTAAGTTCCCATTGTTTGGGGAAGGGCCTGGATGGTCACCTTGAACAGAACTCTGATGTAGCCAGTTCTAAAAATACCTGCCCATGTCCATATTCTTGGGCAGAAAGACACACCAGAGTGTCCCCTCTGGGATGAGCCTTAGATGATGACATCTGAGGTTAACACTCCTGACACTTTTACAGCCCAGGGTCCCCAGCCAGCCTTCCTACTGTCCCCAGGTCCTATCAAAGTTCTGTTGTGTCAGGCTTGGAAGCCCGAGGGAGGGAACTGTAGCCAGGAGGCCCTTACTGTGGCCAGACCCATGCTGGGTGATTCTCTGGTAGCACTGGGCATCATGCCATGACCCTGGGCATCATGCCATGACCCTTACAGGGCATGCTGGGCAGCCAAAAAGGTAGAGAAAGGGTGTCCAGGACTCCTCTCTGTGGGTGGCTAGGCTCAAAGGAGCATGTCCCCAAGCTCTTTTGAGGTCCCCAAGCACTCTGAGGGGCTCACTCAAGAAACAGAGGAGGCTTCAGGGATGGTAGGTCCTGGTCAATGGAGCACACAGGCTCAGCTGAGTTCTGAGGTAATGCTTCAGAAGGTGAGGCGATTTGAGCCCAGGGCACCCTGACCCTCCCCTATTCATGCTAACACATCCTGACATTTACAAGCCATCAGCAGAAGAGGGGGAGCCTCATGACTAGCCTGTGTGGTGGGATATCACACTACAATCCCACCTTCATAGGTGGGAGCAGGAGCCTGGAGAATAAAAGTTAATTCCTTAGAGCAACACAGCAAGATGGGACTTGAACCCCAATCTGTGAATGAGAGCCCTGTGTTAGAATGGCTCCCAGGGTCACAGCCCCTCTACTGAGTTCAGGCTTCTAGGTTGTATTCTATACTGTCCTGAGCTCTGTGACCATAGTCAAGACCTCTAGCTTCAGGCTCAACATTTCTGGAAAATGAGGAGAGGGGTGGGAATACTGCCCTTTAGCCATAGCCTGTCCTGAACTCTCTCCTTCCTTCGAACTTGGACCTGACCCTGATCTATAAATAGATGCACAGGCTGGAAAACTCATTCCCAGGGGTTAGATGGCCATCTGGGAGAAAGCTGAAGTGGGTATTTCTTCTTCTTCTTCTTCTTCTTCTTCTTCTTCTTCTTCTTCTTCTTCTTCTTCTTCTTCTTCTTCTTCTTCTTCTTCTTCTTCTTCTTCTGATTTCTTGATCCACATGAACTTGTGTATATACTTGTGCTGGTTCTCAGGGACCCTCCTCTGTGCCCAAGACAGAGGACACCAGCTCCATTCTCTTTTTGTGCAGGGGTGTGGCTCATTCAACACAGATATGAAGATGAAGACAGGCTAAGTGCAACCAAGACAGTGGTTTTGGAGTATCTGGGGAGATGTGGTGTGCACACGCACATGTGGAGGGGGCAGGCACCCAGGGATGAGGAGCCATGTGCTTGGATGCCAGAGGCTCTGAAGTCTCAGCTCTGGTGTGTGTGACCACACAGTCTCGGGAAGGGTGCTGAGTCCTGCTGCCTTGGTTTCCCATTCTACCCATACTGAACTGAGTATAAGGGCACCATGCTGATGGATTGCTGGGAAGGGGAGGCAAGATGGACCAGCATGTGTATGGCCCTTTAAGAGTGCACCTCAGCCCAATGTGACACTGCTGTAGCTATCGTCCTGGGGCCTTAAATTAGCAGGATGTCATCAGATGCCCAGGAACTGGTCCTTCAGGGCCCACCTCTCTACTCTCACTCAGACAGATGAGCAGGCAGGACTACAGTTGTGACTGATCTGGCCTGAGCTCCCTCTCCCTAAGAACTGGTGGGTGAAAGGTTGTTCCTGCTGTGTCAGTATGCATCGCAGGGTCATGCTGTCTGGCCCAAGACTGGGGACTGAGGAGTGGCATCAGCCACAGGGGGTGCCAAGGCACAGTTCTGCCCGCCCACTGCCTATGATCCTGTGGCTTGTCCGAGTTATGATCCACCTCCCCACTCCCGCCATGCTAGCCTCAGCTTCCAACACAAATGCCAGCAGCCAAACAAAAGCCCTTTTGCTAGGGGCCTTAAACTCAGCCAAGATCAAGAAACACAGCCTGAAGGTCCAGTACTCAGAGAGGATAGGTGGGGCAGGGTCACTGGCCACCACTTCCCTGAGACGGAAGCCTGGTCTCCAAGGGGGACTACATGCCTCTGGCTGACAGGCAAGATCAGCTGGGGCAGAGGCCAGGGTCGGACAGGCCTGGGCATTGGCTTTGTCTGTGGCGCTGGATGATTACTGGTTGCTTTTCTGACCATGTGACTTAAGGAGACTGAGCTGCCAGAGTACAAAACCTCGGTGCCCTCTCTTGGGATTCCACACCCTGAGCCAGCAGAGCCCCTTCACTCAGGGAGATCACAGGGACACCACTATGCCACTTCATGCTCCTCACAAGCTTTGAGCTCCAGGAGCTGACAACCAGCCTTGCCACCTCCAAGTCTCAGCCATTTTCATCTGTCCCATCAGCAAACCCCAGCATGCATTGCATTATCCTGGCATTATAAAGCCTTGCATTCTTCATGTGGACACAGGGGCAAGCTGTCTCCAGTTTGAGACTGAAGGAGCTAGGGAGGGAATTCGTCTGGAGAAATAGTAGTTGAATACTGGCTGATCTTCCAGAGGACCTGGATTAGAGTCCCAGCACCCATGTGGCAGCTCACAACCATCTTTAACTCCAGCTCCAGGGGGATCTGATGCTCTCTCCTGGTCTCCATGGGTATTGCACACACATGGTGCACACACATACATCAGAGAATACACTTATACAAATAAAATTAAAATAAATCACAGAGGCAAATTTGGCTAGGTATGGTCTTTCTGGTCTGACCAGACCCCCTCTCCTCCCCAGCTGACGACACAAGGTTCTCTACTGATCAGAAGCAGTGACAATGCTCCAATCCACAGCTCTATGGCAGAGGCACAGTGCTGAGAAGGTCCTGCAGCTGGTCATTGGGGTGGGATCTCAGATCCTCTATGCTGTCTCGGAACATGGGTTGCCCTTAGTATTGTGTCTCCCATAGAGTGCAGGGCTGGTACCTACCTGGGGATGTTTTCGTCCACAGTGGCACATCCATAGAGGAAGACAATGACACCCACGATTGAGGCGGGGATGAGCATCTGGGTGTAGGCGCCAAGCCAGGCAAAGTACAGGCCAACCTTCTCGCCAAAGTATTTCCTATGTCGAGAAACAAAGGGATGCACTCACACCCTAGACCACAGGGTGTCTAGGGACACATCATGTCCCCCTGGCAAGGAATAACTCCAGTTGGAACATTGATTCTCATGCCTGAGAGTCATTGAGTGAGACTCTAGAACACCTCATCAGGTTTGGGGTGCTCTCTATTCTTTGTATATGCTCCTACTTGCCCGTAAATGGTCTACCACTAAACTACAACCCTAAAATATTTATAGTCTCTCTCTCTCTCTCTCTCTCTCTCTCTCTCTCTCTCGCTCTCTCTCTCTCTCTCTCTCTCTCTCTCGCTCTCTCTCTCTCTCTCTCTCTGTGTGTGTGTGTGTGTGTGTGTGTGTGTGTGTGTGTATGTGTCTTGCTCTCACGCATACCCCAGGCTGGCCCCAAGCTCAATACATAGTTGAGGATGACCTTGAACTTGTGAATCTCCTCTTTTCACCTTCCAAATACTGGGATTACAGGTGTGCATTGTCATGCCTGGCTTACTCAGTCCTGAGGATTGAACCTAGGGCTACAGGAATATTAGTTAAACTCTCTACCAGCTGGGCTGAATCTCCAGCCTCCCCTGTCTTTTGCAGACTGGATTTTTCCTCTTTGGCTCAGGCTAGCTTTGACCTTACTATACATAGAAGGTTGGCCTTGAACTCCTGATCTTCCTGCCTCGGCCTCCCAAGTACTAGGATAACGTGTGTGTGTGTCACCAGGTTTGACTCTGCCTCTCCTGTGTACCCTGGGGAGCTTCCATGTGTGAAGCCTTCACTGGTGGTCCAGGTGTGTCCCCATGGATTAGGTTCCATCTCAAGCCCCATTCAGTGTAAACGTGGTCAGAGGCATCAAGTAAACTAACCACTCCCTCCCCCCAATTGGGTTTGCTGACACTCCCTGGCTGACACGAATTATCACCATTCACACCCTCATCTACAAGCCCCCACAGGGCTTCAGCCCATATGGCTGCCCATCCTGCCAGCCTCTCAAGCTGGCCTGCAGGTTCTCTTAAACCTGGCTACAAATTCTCACACATTGAGGCAGATTCTTCTTCCCTTCCACACCCCAAAACAGGTGATCTCAGCAGCTGTTCCGATGGCCAAGCTGAGGACTCAAGAGGAGGCAGTGGGAATGGGCAAATGCTGGTCCTCCAGTAGATACGACTAGGCAGCATCACCAATCCTGCCTGAGCTGCCTTGCTTCCCAGAGACCCAATGGCCCACACAGCCTTCAAGTACAAACAGGTTCCCAGGCAGCTAAATATTTGGAGCAGTTGACAAAACCCAGAGTCTTTACCATTTGGACATGGCCTTGAATCTCACTCCATACAGCCACTGCCTAAGAGGCCAGGTGCCTCCACTCACCTGACCAGGTCAATGGGCTGGTATTTGTAGAAGACCCCGTAGCTTGCCCATTCCTCATATAGGAGCTAGAGAGAGGAAGGAATGGGAAAGGAATTGGTGGAGGGTCACAAACTGATGCTGTTCCCTGGAAGAGCTTCAAGGTTTCAGTTAGCCTATCCATGATTCATTCATTCATTCATTCATTCATTCATTCATTCATTCATTCAACAATTCAACAAATGCTTAGAGAATGTCAGGGAGGGAACTGACATTCTGGGTTCAAGTGGGGTGGGAAAGATGCTTCCAGAAGGTTATGGAATCTCAGTTTTCCATGACCAAATTAGGAATTAATCTATGACATCTGATAACAACAGGTCACTCTGGTCAGATACCAAATCATTTGTCATCTAAACTACCATGTTCAATAAGAGAGACACTAACAGCAAAATTGAAAAAAAAAAAAAAAAAAGGCATAGAGATAGCACAAGGTTCATCTCCCAAGACAGGCTCCTGATTAACACTTGTCATGAAACAAAAGAGACCAGGGCCAGCCAGATGGCTCAGCACAGACAGGTGCTTGCCACCAAGCTTGGCAACCTGCATTTGATCCCCAGGACCCACATGATAGAACTGATTCCTCTTCTGTAAGTTGTCCTATGATCTCAACACATGTATACACACACACACACACACACACACACACACACACACAC